AGGATTCCCAGACCAGAGCGGCTTACCCCAATAAAGACCTGCTTCCAGGAAGAGGAGCGGCTCCGAGTCCTCCTGAGACGGGCTTGCTCTTCAGATCTTCCAGGAGACCCGCACAAAAGTGTCTGTAGAATGAATCAATACCTGGTTGCTCTCCACAGGAACTTCTCCTTCTTCACTGAGCTCCAATCTACACCGCTCTTCCTATCGAGTCCGTTTTCCAGGAATTATTTGGACAGAGAAAATCACCCAACCTGCTTCTTCAGAGGAGAGAAACAGCTGAATTCCCGGGCCTCGCAGAATCCAGGTTTCCAGCCCCACAGAGGTGATGGGGAGAAAACAATGTTCTGGAGGGTGCGGGGCCCGGGAAGAGGATGAGGCACAGTGGGGGTGGGGGGGGGAGGTGGGAGATGGGGGATGGGAAAAGTAAGCGGGAACCGGGCCCGGCCAACCGCTGTGCGGCTAGATGCAGCAGCACGGTTCCTCAGGCCACAACCGTAACCTCTGCTTACACTGAAACGACTAGTGTAATGTAAGGAACGGATATTAACACAAGATGCACAACGTAGAAGGACTTACGAGATTGGCTCACCACAGCTAGGCGCCGAGTCGGATGAAGAAGGGTGTCGAGGGTGTCTGCACACCCCACACTGAAGGATTCAGTCCCAAGACCTGAAGGTCGGCTGATGGGTCTGAGAGAAGAGTCCGCAAGGAAATTCAGGGATGCAAGCCGAGGCCCAAGAGACTGCGCCGCAAGCCAGGCGACTAAGTCCAAGGCGAACGCGAAGACGGAAGCTCCTCAGAGAGACTGGGACGCTGTCCTCAGTTCCTGTATGTGGTCACTTCCTGCTGCGTCACTGTGGGCGGACCCGTTGCGCCCTAGTGTGGAACCAATCGGTGCCCCAGGATGGGGTCGTCCCTCCCAGCGAGCGACCAATCCGCGTCCAGGCCGGGCCTGTCGCAATCTAGGGTGGAACCAATCACTTCCTGGGGCGGAGCCAAATTGTGCCCTAGGGCGGACCCAGTTGGGACCCAAGGCGGAACCAATCACGCCTCAGGGCGGGTCCTCATGGTGGAGGTTGTGGTGGTTGGGAATGGGGAGTGGGTATGTGGACGGCGGGGAGACAGGCAAGGCACCACAAAGTGTGAAGTAAACTCAAGGTATCAACAACCACTATGTAGTGCAATGAAAAAAAAAAAAAGCAAACAGTAAAAAGAAAAGAAAAGTAAAAGTAGCCTTTTCAGTGAACCTGCTATGAACCCTCTCCTACCAACACACCTCTAAATAAACACACACTTCAATTTAGCATGAAACCACCACTGGACTTAAAACTCTGACAGAATTCCACCTGGCTTTACACCAGACTTCAGCAGAAACTCCCTCAGTGGAGCACATACCTCCTCAGCCACCTTATAACGTTTTGTGAATCTACTGTAATAGGTTGATTGTGGGATTCATTTTAGTGTAGCTACTGAACTTGGGACCACCACAGAAACGTTTGCTTCCACTGAGTCTGAAAGCACTTTCTACTCCACCATGAAAGCCGTGACAAACCTCATTCATTTGAAATTACAATGAATCCCATCCATGTCTCTTTGTCCACTATGACTATAATTTCTAATAATCATATTCCACTTAGAACACAAGCACTTCAGGGGAAACTACAGGCAAAACAATTCCAACTCAATCTTCCACTGAACCCTTAACCACAACACTGTCACTGCCAGACTCTCACCTTCCAGTTCCTCTGGGCTTAAAACCAAAGAAGTCCCTCACACTGCATATCCAGATACCGCTACCTCTGAAGGCATAAAGACAAGGGCCGCATCTTCAACTCTATGTATAGTCACTCATAATTTGTTCAGAAGCTGCTATCAATAGAAACACTAGCATTCAGAACTAGATACACTTCAGATGAATCTAAAAATGCACATGATTCTTTCTTCTTCAAGCGAAGGCAACTCTGCCCTCGGGACAGGGACTTCAGTTGAGCTGTACTGTTGCCACAGCCACAGCCCTTTTGCTGTCCCAGCCTACTCTACAAACATACCATTTCACAGCTTTATCACAACACAGCCATCTCCACATCAGGTATTCACTGCCACATACTTGCCACTAGCCCTGGTTAACTGAAGTGACAACTACTATTTGTATAACAAAGGCAAAAACCTTAATCTCAAGTATTTTTCAGGTTTTCTGAAGTTTCATATTATGTAATTTTCATAACAAGTGAATCTAGTTTGCTATTTAAGATAATTATTAAAGAAAGGTATGATAAAAATCTCATAGTAAAATCAATATTATTTATTGGTAATGTCAGTGTTTTAGGCAGTAAGTTAAATAAACTTATAAAGAACACTTAATTATGATCATTTGTCACTTATATATGCAATATAAAAATGTGGTGATTTTAATATACTACCACTACTAATATTACTATAAATGTGCTTTTCATATTTCAAATGGAAACATTATTTAACTACTAAAGATAAAAAGGAGTAAATAACTGTGTAGGAAAAGTAATAAAATTATTAGTTTGGAAACTTTTTGTTTTAAATTCCTTCAAATTGATGAAATATTAATTTATATAGCCACAGAGGTTCTCTGGAAACCTACTGAAGCAGAGTCAGTGCAGTGAGCCAAGACTATATTTGATAAATCAATACATATTGCAAAACTGTTAAAAAGTAAAACTAATTATTCAAGCATATCATACAAACTAGCTTTATTCAGATTTATAATGAATAAATTTCTATTACATATGCCAGAAGCCCATGATAAATGGGGTTCATGTACTGCAGGAACTGCTTTATGTACTATAAACATGTACCCATAAATAATGTGATTGTATTCTGACAGAGCTTGAAGAAAATATTTTTATTAAAATATATTTTGGGGGCTGGGGAG